ACCTGTCTCTATCAAAAAATTGTTACCATCTGTCGTGCAGGCACCTATCCCTGAGTTGAAGCCTCTTCCCAACCATCTTAAATATGCTTTCTTAGGAGAAAATAAAACATTGCCAGTCATAATTTCAACTAAACTCTCTGCAATAGAAGAGGAAAAAACTTGTCCAAGTGCTAAAAGAACACAAAACTGCCATTGGGTGGACAATTGCAGATATCAAAGGGATAAGTCCGTCCACTTGCATGCACCGAATTCTTCTAGAGGAAGGAGCAAAACCATCTCGTCAACCACAAAGAAGGCTAAACCCGCCCATGATGGAAGTAGTCAAGGAAGAGGTCCTCAAACTCCTTGGAGCTGGGATAATCTATCCTATTTCAGATAGCAAATGGATTAGCCCAACTCAAGTGGTTCCTAAGAAAACAGGGATTACAGTTGTCAGAAATCAAATAATGAACTTGTCCCCACTCGTATTCAAAATGGGTGCGAGTCTGTATAGACTATAGGAATTGAAGTTGAATGCTGTTACAAGAAAAGATCACTTCCCTTTACCGTTTATTGACCAAATGCTAGAAAGGTTGGCCGGTCGCTCTCATTTTTGTTTTCTTGATGGTTTTCAGGTTATTTCCAGATTGCAATCGCTCCAGAAGACCAGGAAAAGACGACTTTTACATGTCCCTTCGGCACTTTTGCATATCGACGCATGCCGTTTGGCCTCTGTAATGCCCGGGTACCTTTCAGAGGTGTATGGTTAGCATATTTTCTGATTATGTTGGGCATATGATTGAAGTTTTCATGGATGATTTTACAGTTTATGGCGACTCTTTTGACTCCTGCTTACATAACCTTTCACTTATTTTGAAAAGATGCATAGAGAGTAATCTTGTGTTAAATTCTGAAAAATGTATTTTATGGTTAATCAAGGTAATGTTTTGGGGCATGTTATTTCATCTAGTGGGATTGAGGTTGATAAAGCCAAAGTTGATATTATAGAGTCTCTGCCTTATCCTACTACTGGTGCGGGAAGTCCGCTCTTTTCTTGGACATGCAGGTTTTTACCGAAGGTTTATCAAAAACTTCTCGAAAATAGCACTACCTTTATGCAAATTGTTGCAGAAGAGACATCCTTTGAGTTTGACAAAAAGTGTAAGGGAGCATTTGACGAATTGAAGGAGTTGTTGACGTCTGCGCCGATCATTCAGCCACCTAACTGGAACTACCCATTTGAGATTATGTGTGATGCAAGTGATCACGCAGTAGGGGCTGTGTTGGGCCAAAAGATCGGGAAATCATCCCATGTTATTTATTATGCTTCTAGGACTTTAAATGATGCTCAGAAAAACTATTCTACTACAGAAAAAGAACTTTTAGCCATTGTTTTTGCTTTAGAAAAATTTAGGTCCTATTTGCTGGGCACCAAAGTTATCGTTTATTCTGACCATGCCAGCTCTTCGCTACTTGATGAAAAAGCAGGAAGCCAACCCAAGATTTGATAAGATGGATTCTCCTCTTAAGTGAGTTTGATGTGGAGATCAAAGATAAGAAGGGGTCAGAGAATCTTGTGGCCGATCATTTGAGTCGGTTGGTACACATTGAACCTGAACCTCCGCTGCAAGAAGCATTCCCTGATGAGCACTTATTGGCTGCGACTGTGGTTTTACCTTGGTATGCTAACGTAGTTCAACTTTTTGGTTGCCAACAAGTTTCCTCATAATTCGTCTAAAGCCCAAAAAGATAAAATCAGGAGTAACGCCAAGTACTATGTATGGGATGAACCGTACCTCTGGAAACATTGTGCTGACCAAGTGGTAAGGCGGTGTGTACCTGATAGCGAAATTGCCTCAATCCTTGCCTTTTGTCATTCTTATGCTTGTGGCGGCCACTTTGGTGCTAAGAGAACAGCAAGGAAAGTGTTGGACTCTGGGTTTTATTGGCCAACTTTATTTAAAGATTCATACTCATTTTGCAAGTGTTGTGATGCTTGCCAAAAGTCAGGTAATTTATCCCGGAGAAATGAAATGCCACAAACTCCGATCCTATTTTGTGAGGTCTTTGATGTTTGGGGTATTGATTTTATGGGCCCATTTCCTGCCTCTTTTGGTTTTGTCTATATTTTACTTGCTGTTGATTATGTTTCGAAGTGGGTAGAAGCTAGAGCTACCAGGACTGATGACTCTAAAGCTGTTGCAGATTTTATCAAATCTAACATCTTTTCCAGGTTTGGCATTCCAAGAGCTATAATAAGTGATCAGGGTACTCACTTTTGTAATCGCACCATCGAAGCATTGCTTAAGAAGTACCATGTCACCCATAAGGTGTCAACTGCCTACCACCCACAGACTAATGGGCAGGCAGAGGTGTCCAACCGAGAGGTGAAGTCAATCCTTGAGAAAACAGTCAACCCAAACAGAAATGATTGGAGTTTGCGATTAGATGATGCATTGTGGGCGTATAGAACCGCATACAAAACACCTATTGGTATGTCCCCTTATCGCATTGTGTTTGGGAAAGCTTGTCACCTTCCCGTTGAGTTGGAGCACAGAGCCTATTGGGCTGTCAAGAGCTTTAATATGAACATTGATGAAAGTGGCCTACACCGGAAGTTGCAACTTTCTGAGTTGGAGGAGATTCGCAATGAGGCCTACGAGAATTCACGAATCTACAAAGAAAAGACAAAAGCTTTCCATGACAAGATGCTTTTGAGAAAGGAATTTTCAATTGGACAAAAAGTCCTCCTCTTCCAGTCACGTCTTCGGCTATTCCCAGGTAAGTTACGTTCTCGTTGGGTTGGTCCATTTATTATCACTAATATTTTTCCTCATGGGGCGATAGAGATTCAAAGTTTACAGACTTCAAAGATATTCAAGGTTAATGGCCATCGGCTTAAACCTTACCATGAAGGGGCTCAAGTTGAATATATTGCCGACATACTTCTTGAAGATCCCAGCTATTTTGAATAATATGAACAACTAGAAGGGGAGTTTGTTCTATTATTATTTTTTTTTTCTTTTTCTTTTTCTTAATCTTTATGTTACTTTTAATAACCCTTTTTCTGTGCTTTTTTGTTCAACATTGGGGACAATGTTGATAATAAGTGTGGGGGAGGGAATTTAGTTTTATTATTTGTGTGCATATGTCAAAATTTTCAAAACAAAATTTTCACAAATATTTTCTTAGTATTTTATGCTAAATAAGTATTATTTTGAACAATTACAATATTTTTCTTTCTTGGAATTCATGACATGATTGAATAAATAGTTCGGCAAGTTGTGATTAGTTTGTTAGCATTTTTTGTTTGATATGTAGTGGCTATATTAAGTAAGCAATAAACATGTGAGTGTTTTGAGCCATTGACTGACACTTCGGTCTTATTTTCTTTCTATTGTGCAATTTCTTCCATAATTTTGTTTCTCTAGAACTTGCCTTGATTCTCTTTTAAAGCTAATTAGACCATGCATGATTCAAGTGTGATTAAGGCCATTATTTGATCTTGAGCCTCACTAGCCAAATAACCGGTTTGTCCTATGATTTATTTCCCCTTGTTAACCACTTTGAGCTTTATGGCCATTCTTTTCTCTTTTTTTGAGCCACATTACAAGCCTTTTATATCTAAAAATAATGCCTTCACCCAGCTGAATAACTAGTGGAGCAAATTTTGAATTATGCGTGTAATCTACATGAGGTTGTGAGGAAGAAGTGTGGGGGAGGTCACTTTCTTGTGTTAATATGATGGAGAATGAGGTGGGTTGTATCTTCATTGCCGATTTGTCACTGGTCTTCTATGAAAAAGAAAACGAAGACAATTCATGATTCCAAAAAAATAAATAAATATGGAAATTGAAAAATTGAAAAAATGAAAAAATGGAAAAATGGAGAATATATGTTTGAAAAAGAAAAATATTGCTGAAAATTTATGAGAAAATGAGAAAGAATCAGCAATTGATTTTGAGTTGAAGTTACTTCTAAATAAATGAAGTAAGGGGAAATTCTGGTAATACTGAGGAAGCATTCTATACTTGGTGTTGAGCAAGTATCTTGGATTATTTGTATTTATATGCTCCTCTAGTTTGAAAGCTTTTGTTTAAGCTACTTTCCTAAATATTCCCTACCTTAACCCTAGCCCCATTACAACCTGTGGAAAGTCCTTATGATTTGTGTCATGCATGACTCTTGTAGTGGTGATTGAGAAGATATGCAAGCCTATGGTAGAGCAATTTTATAGGAATGAACTTGAGTGAAAATTATACCCATCAAACACTTGAGTGATGAGTGATATTCCTGTGAGGGCTTACTTATTTAGTTTTCTCGATTTTCAGACAGGGGTGCTATCTTATTA